GTATAGTTCCTTGAGGTACTCCGCACGGGATTTTTTGCGGATTGCTGTTATGATTTACAACTTTTAGGGTTTGCGTTCTATCTGTAAGGTAGCTTTGAATAAGATTTTGTGTTGTTCCTCTAAAGCCCATGTTGTCTATTCGTCTAATGCGAACCTTTCTTTTAATCTTTTTTCAAAAACTTTAGCTGTGCTTGATGTTATTGATATTGATCTGTACTTATTGCTGTCTAATTTATTACCTGCCTTATCAATTGGAGTGATTTGGGCTTGCGTGAATGGTGTTTGTATTTATTTTATTTATTTTACAACATATGGTCGTATTAACTAGATGTAACAGTGGTTCATCGTTTATTTAATTTTCTTGTGTTATGATGCCCTATCGCCTCCTGGAAGCTAGTAAATAAAAGGAACTTACTTACCCTCTCGAATTGTAAATTTCGTATCGGTCTTACTCTTCTGTCTGCACACTGACCTGGTGACGTGTATTGTTGTGAATAACAATACGTTATCAATGCAAGAAGGGCGATCGTCAATATTTGTTTAAACATCGTTGCTACTTTTTATGTGTTACTTAGAAAGCAAAATGGTCTTATATTTTTTTCTAGGTGTATTTATGTAGGAAAAAAATTTCCAAATAAGTTAAATTCGTGGCCCATATCATATCACAAAAAATTTGTTTTTATCTCGCAATGATAGTAATTTTTCTTAATTATTATTGATAGCTCTATTTTTTGTAGCTACTCGGTCGTTAAAAATATTTTGAAGTGTTTGTGCGTGGAATCATGCTCATTGGCCGCCAGGGTCGGTCGTCTAGTTTACTAGTTTTTGAACTTATCTTTAACAAATAAAGTCTGCGACATTTGACTACAAACTTCTGTTATTACAGCTTTAAGAAGCATTTCGTTTTCTTTTCAACACCGACGTTTCGACATCGTTTAATAATTACGTAATTTCAGTTTAAATATCTAATAGCAGAATCGATAATTAAAATCATTTTCTTAGTATATGTTTATTATAATAAATTCTTATTGAACTATTCCGTAGAAATTTCCAAGTGTACTTGCCATAATCATTAGTTTTTGACTTTATCTTAAATAAACAAACTGCGTGTCATTTAGGTGCATATTTCTATTGCAATTTTATGAAATCGTATTTTTGTTTTATTATGTTTAGTAGGTGCAAAGCCGATAACAAGAAATAGGCGAGATAGATTGTTAGAAGCAGAAACAGGAGTTAAGAGGAGTAGGGGTAGACATAAATTAGATTATTGTTCACAAAAAATAGTTAAGGAAGTGAGATGTCCAACCAGTCTTTGGACTGACGACCTTATGATGATGATGTTCAGTATTTCAAAATTGTATCTGAATTTTTTTTAGATAGGAGTTTTATTTTCGAAGTAATTTGCGAGTTTTTCAATTTATCCTAAACAAAGTATGCGAATTTTTCCTGAATATTTCGGTTACGATTTTAACTTTGTTTGAATCGACTTGGATTTATTTGGTTTTCGAATAATTTTGCTCCACGGTAGGCAACCCTCATTTCTTTAAGCTTGAGGCCCTCCTACACTAGAAAAATTATCAGTAATCTCGTTAACGATAGGAATAACAATGATGTCACTAATGAATTTTGTGTACAATTGACGGTTTTGACTTTAAAATTTTGTAACATAAAAATGGTAAATAACGTTTTCCATTGTCCGAAAATGAGTGTTCTAGTTTTCCAGGTTTGAGTTGTTTAATTGTGTGATGTAATTAATTAAAATTAGTACAACACTAACAACTTTCGAGTACAGTTAAAATAGATCATAGAATTGATATTGGAAACTTTAATTTATATTGTTATTGTTGGGATTGTGAGAATGATAAAAATGGCTTAAAGCCTCTGACATTATTTGGGCTTTGACAAAGCTTACGGGCAATGTCACACAAAGCTTTTTAAGGTTAGTTTAGTGCAAGAGGAAGTGAAAAAATGTTAACAATTTTTTCTGAAATTTATCAATATATATGTAGATAATTTGTTAAAAAAATGAAATTAATCGATCGTATCGAACAATAGGCTGTTTATTCTCGGAAATCTTTCATCTTTCGAACACTTAGCGGTTGTAAGTGTATTTCAGGGAAAAAGATAGTCCAGCCGGATGATATTGATATGGTACTGTTAGGTGAGAGTTACAGAAGTGAAAAATTGACGAATTTAGCGATACGTAATTTATCGATCATCAATTTAATGGTCGCCATTTTAAAGAGCAGGATTTTTTCTATTTCTATAGAGCACTTGATAAACAAATTAAATTACGTACATAATTTATCTGCCGCCATGTACAATAATACAATATGATAATGAAATCAAATTAATTAATCGTATCGAACAATAAGTTGTTCTCGAAAACTGTCATCTCACAATCTCTTCGCAGTTGTAAGTGTATTTGGGGGAATATAAGAGTTCAACCGGGCTTTATGGGGCTATGACGTTGTGCAGGCCAAAAATTGGTGAATTTTGCGATACGTAATTTAAGGGCCGCCATATACAATAATCGAATAGTCGTTATCATAAAGGGCTGTATTTCCTGTGCATTTTTTTTGTATTTGTAAAGAGAAATTGATAATGAAATCAAATGAATTAATCGTACCGAACATAAGCTGCTTATTCTTAGAAATCTTTCATCTCTGAAACACTTAGCGATTGTAAGTGTATTTCGAGGAAAAAAATACACCAGCCGGGCGTTAATATTCCGTTGCGTGAGAGTTACCGAGGTAAAAAATTGATTAATGTTGCGGTACATAATGGACAGTCACACAATAATTCGGTACAGTGGTTATTGTATGGAGCAGTATTTTTTGTGAATTTTTACTGATTTGATAAACAAATCAAATTTATTAATCTTATTAGGTAGGCATTGAACAATATGTTAACATTGCATTTTCATCGGCGTATATTAATCTTTCTCCATTAAATTATCAATGCTAATTTCATTAATAAGAAGAATTTCTCTGCATTTATCGTAAACTAACGAACACTTACCTGCCTATTTGATTTTTCTTCTTATAAATACAAATAATTACGTACTATGATTCATTTATTGAAAAAAGGAAGGAATTAATTGAAAAAACTCATTCAAGTTGCTAACAGATTTAATATCAATTCATTTCGAACAAATTTCATGAATGTACTGTTTTTTTTTAAATAAGCAGGTATCAATATCCTGAACAGCATATGTTCGTTTTATATCAGTTAGGCCGTTGTCTTTAAGGATTTTATCAACTTCTTTAGCTATTGAATTTGAGTACATTCGGGTCCTGCTCCTCGCATATAATAGTTCTGGAAAAACAAAAAATAGTTGAAAATCCTAAAAATTAACGATTGATTTTTACCAAAAATTTAAGCGAACAAGGAGAAATTAAAAAACTCCACTGCCGTGAATAGAAAAGGTAAGAAATGAAGGGGTATGAAGAAGAATAGGAGAAGAGGGGACTCTATGGATGTCAATAAGAAATGAGCGAGATAGGTTGATGGATCATCTTCTCAGGCATGAAGGTCTAGTCAGAGACATATTAGAGGTAGAAACGGGAGTTGTAGTATACTAGACGTAGATTTAGATTAGATTACTGTTTTATTAGTTAGTAATTTGATTAATATTAACACTAAGACACTAAAAGGTTTAAAAAAAAAACAACGTGTAATTAAACACGCTATTGAAGTGAAACTTCTTCAAACACACAAACATACCTGTATAGGGAGTTAAGGAATTGGTTTAATGGTGTTATTTATACACTATGCTTCGAACGGGTGCAATGCTGATAGTAAATATACTATAGAATGTCTTTATATGCAACAATCACAGCTTTTTTGTCATTAGACAATACAAACCGGCCGGTACCGCCGCAACCGCTANAATTGAAAAATCTTGGGGTACGGTGAAAAACAGTATTTTGTGTGCGCTTTTTTGTATTTTTAAAAATAAACTTGATAAACAAATCAAATTAATTAATAAAGATGTATGTCTTAAGTATTTCCGAGTAGAAACAAGTATATACTCTTGTTTATAATTCTATTGTTTTCTTGACATTATCGCGTGATGATTATTGAATGAATGTATACTTGTACACTAGTATTTTAAACTAGCTTTATTTTGTAACTGCGCTTCTATCTATTTAACTGTATCTATAATCAAATTGTGTAAGTAAAGTGATACATAGTAATCACTTGATAATTTACGAGGTATATTCGGTATCGCGAATTTTGAATTTCCGCGGTTTGGGCTATATTCGATTTTCGGTTTTTTTGTAGCGTTATGTTGGTACTCATGTCTGTAACTTATACAGACCAGTTCGGTCATGTTAAATGTATTAAAGTATTAGTAGTAATAAATTAATTTTAAACAAGGGGGCATTTTTTGCGAGGGCCAGTAGAAAATAATAAAAAAGTTTTGCAAACTGTACCGTGTGACATACCAAATGAAAGAGCTTGTTGTAAGGGTCTCAAATATATTCTTTTTATAATTTTAAATAAATAGTTTTAAAGTTATTTAAGAAAATAGATGATAACTGACTATTTTTCCTCTGTTATCTCTGAATCTACTGAATCTAAAATTTTGAAAAAAGAAGATAATAGTTCTTTACTTATAGATTACAGGAAAAATTAATAACAAACGTAGGGTTTGAACATAACATGGTAAATATGTCAACAAAACAACATCGTGCGAACAAATTTACATTTGCAGTTTGAATGTATGGAAGAACACGTTTTTTTTTTCAACTACAATGTTAAGTCGGTTCTCGGGTTAGGGTTCCGTTCGCCCGAATGAAAGCTCACTCGTATGTCTGTTTGTCCGTTTTGTTGTTTTTCAAGTATGTGGACGTCTTGCAAGTCTTAAATTTTTTCACTTTATAATAACAATAAAATAACTTATAGGTAAGCTTGTTACACTGTAAATCTTATTAAAACATTACTAACAAAAAAATCTGTTTCGTTGCCGGTAATTTTTTGTGTTGTTTGTCTTAAGGTGTCACACGTAGAGAGCTTATCTTGCCTATACATATACATACACTTTTTTTGGTTCTGGAGCAATTCAGTTTTATTAGGTTCTTGTACGGTTTAGAGCGTTTAAAAATGTTAACGTTCATGGTGCATGAGAGCGAGGAACGACGACGTTGTAAACGAAATTCTTAAGAAATAACATTAAGAGAGTGTTCAAAGCATCTTTGAAATTTACCGTTTCTGGAGAATAATTAACACGTAAACTTTATTATGTTTAACATGTGAGTGTTCCTAGTTTTCGCACAGTTAGCCTGAGATAATATTGGTGTGTAAAACGGCTGAGCATGGGGCACTCGCGTCTCTCGTTCTGCCATAAAACAGTAAAAACTGCCGCAATTCCCAGAAATATGAGAACGGTCACATTAAATCAGTGGAGGTTGTAGCAGCATGAGACCATCGTACTCTCACCGAGCGTCTATAGTCCTTGCCTCTTGTTTAAATTTAAATTTAATGGCAACAATAAATCTCTTTTATTTAACGATTTTTTTTGTCGAAGCGTGAGCACCATGAGTACAGTGCTTTACTACACCCCTGCCTCCGAGATGGAAAACCTTGATAAAGTTGTACTTAAAAATTAAGCACTTTTACGACACACCTCTATCTAACCTGAGAAAATTCGCCTATTTTGTTCGACTTGAAGAAAATTCAAGTTAAGGAAATTTTTTGCAAATTCCGTGGAAAACACACATAAAAGCTGAACCTTTTTGAAAGTATAAGTAGAAATGTGCAAAATGTAAAATACAAAATAGATCTCCCTATTGTATTTTAAATGCTAAATGCAAAATATGTATTTTCAAAATACTTTTTTTCCAATAAATACTTTCTTGTAGCACCTATTTAAGTAATTAAGTAGGTATAAAATATGTTTTAAGAAAACCTTGCAGGCATTTGCTCCTTTTTTAAATAATGGAGCTTTTCTAGGTTAATAGTGGTGTTTGCACTATATCACCAACTGCGAAGGTTGAGTATGATTCATATTTTTCTGTTTGAAATGATTGAGATATGGTTTTTCTTTCTTTATATTATAGTTTCTTCTAGTCAGCACAGAAAATTCTTCTATATGCTTCCTTATTTGCCCTTGTCACCTTTTTAATTGGAAAAAAGACATTGATGGCAAAATAGGCTGCTTAGCGTGGAAGATCAGAGCCAAAATAGGGTTACAAATAATTTTATTGATGTAAAATCAACATCAACCATTGTATATCAAAATACTTACAACCCTATTTTGTTTCTAATCTTTTGCACATTGTAATGAAAGCAGTGGAATCCATAGTTTTTTTAACTTTGGGTTCATCTAATAACTGAAGTTTTTCGAATTGTATTCTAGGAATTTTGGATTATACTCATTTATTAGCACACCACAATAACTTGATGTTTTGAGATTTACACTTTTACACAGCTGGGGTATATCAATTCGATATTGTTTTGCGAGCTGTTTTGTCGTAATTCATATAATTTCGTAGTTCCTTGCTAAAGGTGCGATAAGTTGTGATTTGGCAGGTGCTGATATCAATTTGGAACTTCAAAATTCTATGGACCATGTCATTGAACCCGGAAAACAATATCGATTCAATATTTTAGATTATCCATTTCCAAAGAGTTTAGAATTTTTTGGGCTCTCTTCAGTTAAAGAATTAGAGGCATTCATGGAATGTCTTTTTAATGTTCTAATACTTTCAGTGGCCAATGTGAGCAATTTTCATTCATCATTTTATATAAGTAAAATTTGATCGCTAATAACTTTTAACGGTAAAAATTTTGCATTTCACAAATAGAAAATACATTTGGAAAAGTATTTCAAATAAAATACGAAATGCTTTTCTCAAAAAAGTACTTAAATCCAAGATAAAAATAGGTATTTTTTATTTTGTATTTGCATTTTAAATGCAAGTATTTCATAAAAAAAGTCTAA